AAAAAAAAAAAATTGTAAGCCTATACCTCAAACATAAGAACTTAAGTAGATAAAAAATTCAAAGGTAAATATATGTAGTGAAATAATGGGCTAAGAAATAAAAGAACTTGTTTCTTAGTCCCAGCTTTGCTTTTAAGTAGGTGTGTGATTTTAGGGAAGTCTCTCATTTTTTGTGAACTTCAGTGTTTTCGCATATAAAATGAGGGATTGAATTAGTTTCTTTCTAACTGTGAAGGTCTGTAATTTTATAATTCCATGAAAAAGTTAGTATGTATTGAATGTGTCAACCTAAATAACAGACAAAGAGAGGGCTCTTTGAAAGAAAAGGATATTTATTTGGGAATATAGGTATTGTAGTACACTATATACATTCAGGGAGGTAAAGGAGGGCAAAGGATTTTAAAAGAAAAACTGGGAGGTTTACATAATTGTTTTGAGATAAGTATCTTTGACTACAAGATTTGGTAACAAAGGTGGCACCATTCTGAGGCTGTACAGGCAGTTGCTGGACAGATGACCTTGCAGAAGTATTTTTTGTGTAAGATTGTGATAACCTTAGTAGAAGGTTGTGATTTTTGCAGAATCTTTTGTAATAGCTTTTGTTATCACACATTTATGCATGAGAACCCTCTCTTCATGACCTTCCCCAACTCCAGTTTGGTTCTGACAACTTTCACAAATGCTTACTATATTTTGAATACTGAAGTAAACACTTCTGTGATTTAGAAGTACTCTAATACGTTCTTGTCCATAAGGTACTTACATTTATTTATTTATTTATTTTTTAGCATATCACTGGGAGATGAGGTACTTCAATTTATAAAATATTTTACAAAACAATTGCTTACAATATGAGATCATAAATTTAATGCAGAAGTACATGACACAGGTTGTAAATTCTGTGGAGGTTTGGAAAAGAGGACAATTAGCAAAGATAGAATTAGCCATGAATATAATAGATACCTGATTTGGGACTAGGTAGGATTTAGATAAATGAATAGAAGGAGAGGGCACTCTGGGTAGAGAAGAAGATGTGAGCAAAGAGAAAGTCTTAAGAATAGCCAGGCTCGGTGGCTCAGCCTGTAATCCCGCGCCTTTGGGAGGCTGAGGTGAGTGAATTGCCTGAGCCTGCGGGTTCGAGACCCGCCTGGGCAACTTGGCCAGAGCTCATCTCTACAATAAATCAAAAATCAGTCGGGTGTGGTAGCACGTGCCTGTAATTCCAGCTACTTGGAAGGCTGAGGCGGAAGGATCGCCGGAGCCCAGCAGGTCAAGGCTGTGGTGGCCGGGAGCAGCCGCTGCATTCCAGTCTGGGTGACAGAGTGAAACTCCAACTTAAAAAAAAGAAGAGCATAGTATTATATGGAATTATCATATGGCATTATAGCAGAGAGAGATTAAGTTAAGACAGCTTGCCTGCATTGAAGGATATGTGAATAATGGGAAAATAGGATTGACCCATAGAAGACATTAAAATTTAGGCAGAGATGTTTAGCTTTAACATAGGCAAGAACTAGAAGACACTGTAGATTCTTCAGTAGAAGAATAATGTGTTACAAATAGTATTTAAGGATGATTAGTGTAGTGCTATGTACTTTGAGTAAGGTGTGAAACCACCTTGTTCTAGGTAGCATGTAGGCATTGTGCATACCTTTACTCATTTAATCATCCTAACACCAATGGCAAGTACTAAAATTTGGAGAGTTTAAATAGGTTGCTAAGGGTCTTATGCCTAGTAAGTGATTTGAGCCAGGATTTTTACCAATAACATTTGTGTGATTCCAGAAGGCTAGATGCTAGCGTCTTCAATCAGGAGCATTGCATGCAGTAACCCAGGTTTAAGATAATGAGGAATATACCCAGTAGTGGTGGGAATGAAAAAGAAGAGGTGAAGCTAAGAGAGTTTTCTGTTTGTTTGTTTTTTAAAGAACTTGTTGACCAATAATATCTGGGAAATGAAAGAGAAAATAAATGTAAGAAGACACTGAAGCTTCTCCCTGGGTAGCTAGCTAGTGAAGATTACTGTGCTTTGTGCTGGTTCTTGGGGATTGAGGCAGACAGGAGGGACTAGAGCAGGGGTCCTCAAACTACGGCCCGCGGGCCACATGCGGCCCGCCGAGGACATTTATCCGGCCCACCGAGTATTTTTGCCTCCGCTGCCTGTCCTGCCTAGCAGCCGACTGTCCGGCCCGCAGTGCGCATGTGTGGAATGTGCATCGCACTCCCCGACTCCCCTCCTTCTCTGTCTCTCGACTCCTCTCAGTCTCGGGTGTGATCGGGCGAGTCACAAGCTTGCCAGTGCAGAGCCTGCTGCTGCCTGAGGACCGAGGTAAGAACAAATTAGGATTTTTTTTTTTTTGGAAGTTAGGAGGTCTGTTTTTTTTTTTTTAATTTTGCGGTTAGTAGGGCCTTTTTTTGCGGTTAAGGGGGGCCTTTTTTTTCTGAAGTTAGGAGGTCTATTTTTTTTTTGGAGATAGGAGAGCCTTTTTTTTTGAAGTTGGTTAGTTGGTTGGGGGTGGTTTCTAGGGGGGTTGCATCACAGTGATAACGCAAATAGTCAGTGCTCAGTGCTAATGCAAATGGTTTTTTAAACTATAGTCCGCCCCTCCAACGGTCTGAGGGACAGTGAACTGGCCCCCTGTTTTAAAAGTTTGAGGACCCCTAACTAGAGAGATGGGTGAAATAATATCTATTTAGGACTGTCAAGTTTTAGATGTCCTTGAGCATCTAAGAAGTAAAGAAATAGGAAGATACCTGGATTTAGGAGTCCTCAATAGATAGTTGAAGGCATGAGAATACAGCCTTGAGGTGAGGGTCATGAAAAGAAGAGCCGCGGCTTTGAGATACAGTGTCAAAGCTCATCATGTAGGTTTAGAAGAAGTGTCAAAATAGCTGTCCAACTATTATGTCAAACCCCCTAAGTTGCTGAGATACAGCGTTGATGTTCCTATTCTTCAGTTTGCATTTGACTTCTGGCTGAACTAGATTTTGCTTATATGTTTCTACTGAAAGTGAAATAGTTGTAAATGAATTTCACTGCATGATCAAATTTTTCTAAATAGCAAATTCTTTGGTCTTTTAAATAGGATTAGTTTATTTATGTATTTATTTATTTGAGTCAGAACTTCACTTTGTCGCCCAGGCTGAATGGTGTGCAGCGACATGCTCACAGCCACCGTCTCCCCACCCCCAGCATCAACCCACTGGGCTCAGGTGATCCTTCCACCTCTGCCTTTCATGTAGCCGGAATTACAGGCGTGTGCTACCACACCAGCTAATTTTTTGATATATTGTAGAGATGAGGTCTCACCAAATTGCCCAGGCTGGTCTTGAACCCCTGGGCTCAGGCAATCCTCTTGCCTCGGCCTCCCAGAGTGCTGGGATTACAGGCTTGAGCCACCACACCCAGCTGCTGGTTTATTTTTATTACTTTATTCCAGTACCTCTTTTAGTGAATGTTCTAAGAGCATTTTCTATTTGTATTTATATTACTGACTTGATTATTCTGTGAAAAATTTGAAAGCTGAGATATGACAGCAAAATACAGGCAGCAGAAGAAAAAAATAGCAGAAGAAAAAAATAAATTTTCATCAAAATTAAAAACTTTTGTACATTGAAAGACAGTGTCAACAGAGTGAAAACACAACCTACAGAATGGGAGAAAATATTTGCAAACCTTATATCTGATAAGGGATTATTATCCAGAATGCCTAACAACTCAATGACAACAACAACAAAAAATACCCATTACAAAATGGCCAAATAGATATTTCTCCAAAGAAGATAAACAATGGCCAATAAGCATATGAAAGGATGGTTCAACATCACTAGTCATTAGGGAAATGCAAATCAAACCACAATTAGATGCTACTTTATATTTATTAAGGTGACTATTATTTTTAAAAGTAGAAAATAAGTATTGCTAAGGATGTGGAAATTGGTGTCCTGTGTATTACTGGTAGGAATGTAAAATGGTATAGCTACTGTGAAAACAGTTTAGGAACTCAAAAAATTAAACATAGAGTATGTGATCTAGCAATAGCACTCCTAGATATATACCCCTAAAAATTGAAAGCAGGGATTCAGATACTTGTAGGTCAGCATTCACAGCAGTATTATTCATAATAGCCAAAAAGTATGAATGACCCAAATGTCTGCCAATAAATGAATGGAAAAACAAAATGTATACATACAATGGAATATCATTGTAAAATGTAAAATATCATTGTAAAATGAAAAATTCAGCCTTAAAAAGAAATGGAATTTCAATACATACTACAACATGGATGAACCTTGAAAGCATTATGCTAAGTGAAATAAACCAGATACAAAAGACCATATATTATGTGATTCCTCTTAACATGAGGTACCTAGAATAAACAAATTCATAATAACATAGTAAGTAGACTAGAGATTACCAGGGGCTGGGGAGAAGGAGAGGAGTTATTGTTTATTGGGTACAGAATTTGTTTTTGGGGTGATGGAAAAGTTCTAGAAATGTGTAGTGTTGCTGGTCGCACAACTTTATGAATGTACTTAATGCCACAGAACTATACACTTAAACATGATTAAAATGGTAAATTTTGTTGTGTATAAGCTAATGACTGTTGTACAGGTTGTAAACATTGTTATGCCTGTTATAATGAAAAGTAGAACCAACATGTTCTATCTTAAAGTTGTTCTTTTTTGTATGTTTAATTATTTTGTCACTATATCCCTTGTTATGCATTAATAATTTACTTATCTTTATTTTAAAAGCAAGTAGCAGCCTTCTGGTTCATCAAATGGTTTCAGTTGCTCTATCTTTAATTACTTAAAGGCTATTTTGGATAATTTTGACTCTTATGATAACACGTGTATGTGTGTCCTTATATTAAAATGAGTAGTAATAGTGTATTTTTATCACTATTTAAAGTATAATATAGCCATATTATTGTTAAGAATTAAGATATCCAGCTGTCTTAGAAAAATCTTCCTTCATTGCAGTATTTTGCTTGCAGGATGAAGATGAGCTGGATTCCCACACAATGGTGAAGACTAGTTCGGAGAGTGTGGGCACAATGCGGGCCACAAGCACAATGAGTGAAGGGGCCCAGACCATGATTGAACATAATAGCACGATGTTAGAATCCGACTTGGGGACCATGGTTATAAACAGTGAGGATGAGGAAGAAGAAGATGGAACTATGAAAAGTATGTGGCTTTTTTCCATTGAACATTAGTTTTCTATTTTGAAAGTATTTCTCTATAGAGAGTTCTTCACAGGTGAGTTTTGTGTCATTTAATGTAGCCATTTGTAGAAAATTTTGTTTCTTGGCTTTATGTAACAGCAGAGAAAGAGTATAGCACAAGTAAATTAAAAAAAATTTTTTTTTAAAGACGTGGGGTACAATTCAGGATTAGGTGTACAAGTCGTCATCATACAGGTCAAGTTTGGACCTCCCTTTGGTCCCCACTTCTCCTGGTTTGAGATCAGTTACCCTTATTGATATTGTGTACCCAATCCCCTCCTCTGACAGTGTCCCACTATGGCCAATCCCTTTCACATTTAAAAAAAATTTTTAGTTTAATAGACTAGAAAGTAGCATATCTTCAACTTAGAGTTACAAAACTTTTTTTCTGTTGAAGACTGCTAACCCATAACTTTAATTTGTAAAGTATTTTAGAAAAAGATAGTTGTTCTAACATTTACTTTCCCAATTACAAAAGTGAACCCAAAATTCTGTTCTAGTGTTCATAACATAATATTATTTTATGTCATCCAAATTATCAGTTAAGCCTAAGAGACAGTGATGCAAGCTATGGGAAGACATAAGGGCTGAGGTGGGAAAAAGAAACACTAGAGAGAGGGATTAAGAGGCAGGGATACTCACGTAGAAGGTTCTGTTTCATTCGTATTTACTGATGCTAATCATGTGTAAGGCACAGTGCCAGGATGCTGAAGGGGCTAAAATGACGATTAAGATATTCTCTCTCATTCCTGTTGCTTACAGAGTGATAACTATAGGAATACTTTCACATACTAGCATTTCTTTTTTTTAGTCTTTTTTTTGTTTAAGATACTACAGTTAACATTGTAGAACTTGTGATTTCACAGTGATAGGCAAAAATGAATTAATTATCTTTCATATCACTGACCTTTCTCTTCCCTTCCTGCTACTGCCATAGTCCTATCTAGTTAATCTCAAAGTCTAAGGACTATTTTCATGACACAGTATACCTTCTAAATGGCAGAAAAGCAGGATTACATGACTTCCACCATTGTAAAACCTAGAAAGTTGTAAATATTCAAGTGATTTGATGGTGCTGCAAAGTGAATATCAGAATTTCCTCTCTGACATTTTTTTTTGGAGACTCCCACTGTGAAGTCTTACCACCTAGCTTCAAGTTCCTTGGCTCACTAGTGCTGCTTTCTTCACATTTCCTTATACTATGTAGCCCATCATGGTTACTTTGAAAAGGCAGTGTCATGAAGCACAAAATGCAAACAGATTGCTATCTCATTTCTCCTTGGGGTGAGGTATGAATTTTCTATCTCCTTCCACTGGTGGGCCTCCTCAGCCTTTGTCCTGGAAAGCAGCCTAAATCTTGGATTTCCTGAAATTCCTAGCTGGGCTTCTGACTGGAATAGATTTTTTGAACTTACAGCATGCCTTACTCAACTGCATAGGGTAGTCTTATGGCCTCCAAAGCCAGGTAGTGTTAGATCATTTAATTTATATGCCCTGTAGATTAAAAAGACCCTGTGCTAAAATGGTTAACACATTTCCCATCTGTATGTACATCACATTTCCACAGCTGATAAAAAATCTTTTACTCAATTTTATGACTCTTAACAGATCAGTTAGAAGATCATTGAGTGCTTTGTTGTATCTTTAGTGAGCTACTGAGCACCTATGAAACTATAAACAACTTTTTTATGCAATCATACAGTTGAACATCAGCATATAAACAGTGGTCCAAAAATGAGTCTTTATGTCATTTAATTCGTGGTAGATTGCGGGATATTACATTTCAAGGAAGAGAGAGTAATGATGGTTTATCAAGCATCATACTTTAAAATTACACCACAGATTTCCACATACTTTTTGTAGTGACTTTTACTTTGACAACCACAAAAATCAATATATGTACTTTTCTTATAACAAGTTATACGTATAAGACTTTGTTACAGAAATTTTATTGAAAGCCCATTTTTTAAAAATTCTGTGCTTTATTTTTAATTTTAGATTCAGGGGACACATATCAGGTTTGTTACATGGGCATATTGCATGATGGTGATGTTTGGGTTTCTGTTGAACTCGTCACTCAAATAGTGAGCATGGTACCCAGTAGGTGAGAAAACCTATTTTTAAGTTGGGCAGATAGCGGTCTATATATAGACCGCTGTCTGCCTCAGTAAGTTTTAAATTCCATGAGCCAACTTTCTGTGTATTTTAAGTTTCTGCAAATTAGACATCATTCTGTAATGTGGGACTTTGATGTTCCCCAAAATCTAATTAAGTGGTGTTGGTATAACCCATGGGGATTGTCATGCTGTAGTGTAGCAGGCGTGTAGAATGTGAAGAAGTTATTAAGGGAAGACTTCTCCTGAAACCATGTATTTTTAGTTTTGTTTTTCCTCATGATCTAAATTTTCTTTTATTAGATTAGTTGGTATGAGGTCTCAGCTTTTGTTACTTCTGTCACCGCCTCATTTGCTAATGTGTCAAGCGTTTTGTTCTTTAAAGAGCATAGCAGTCTGTTATTTTTGGTTTCTAAAGTCTCTAGAATGTATACTGAAGATTCTGATTTCCATCTCCTTTACTATTGGAGTTTCAAGTGAGTTGCCTGATTTAACATTGTTGTCAGTTTAAATTATGTGTACACTTTTCTCTTTTATACCTTTAGCCATGATGCTAGAAATTATAGACCTGTTTTCCTTACCTCTAGGAAGCAAAATTATTTAAAGACCTTTTGAAGGGAAGTGGAGAAAAATGAAAAGAAATATTTCAAAATTTGATCTGTTTTTTAAAAAATGGACATGGACCTTGTGTGAATGTCCCATGAACTTCTCAAATCTGTTTTTAATCATGATGATATTACATTTACCTTCCCACTTCCACTCCTCCTATTCACATATCTCTGGTTCCTCCTCATTACTCATGTAATGTCTGGGCTTCAGCCGTAAAATCAAGATCCTTCACAACCTGGCACCAGCCAATATTTACATGTGAATCTCTACTTCTTCCTTATGTTTTATGCTTTGTCCATGCTAATTCAGGTCAATTGGATTTTTGAATCCAATGGATAAGCAGGTTGGTTGTCATTTAAGGAAATCAACTTTTAGGACTTGTTATCCTGAAGGAGATTAGAACAAAAGTCAAGAATCTATTGTCATCAGATTTATGGCATAGTAGAGATTATTTCATTGTGGGTAAGGCGGGAGTGCAGTAGCTTTTTTACCTTGTTCAGCTCATATCTACTCAGTTAGCTCTGTCTCTGGAGGAACTTTCTGGTCTTTCAGAGCTGAGGATGGGTTGGTAGCTATAGTTGCCTTGAAGGAAAACTAAATCTTATCTGAGGAAGAGGAATACTCTCCAAGGTTTTTATTTGACATATGTATGTGTGCGCATACAAGCCGTGAGGTTTGTTCTGGGAAGAATGCTGTATACATCTATTATGCCATATAATAATAGATGTTCTTAGAATTTTAGTTTTATGAATGAATACTAATTACAGAGCTATCAGGTAAAACTCATGCCTTAGTAAGCTACTTTCTTTTCAAGTGTTCTACCATCCCTACTTTCATTTCACAGAGCAGACCTTCTGAAAATGTGTTCCTTGAGATATGCATTCAGTGGAATTCTCTGATAAAAATAGAAGACAATATATAATAATCACAAGTGTTTGGGAAATGCATATTTATCCTGGAGACAAATTATTCAAGAACTACAGTATTTATTATTAGCTTACTAAATGCTCTGCAAGTAGTATAGGAAGGAAAGTTACATTAGCCAGGCTTTCCTTAACTTGTGTGACCAGTAAAAGCTTTTAATGAGGAACATATCAGTGATGAACATCCTATTTTACTAGTGTCTGAGAAACACAACTTGGGAAGTGTTGTCGTGAGAGCCCTCCAGTTTCTTGACCCTAGTTCCTAGTCTGCTTTTTTTTTATTAGCACATCTACTCTTTACTTCTGTATTCAGCTTAAAGACTGTGTTTTCATCACTCCAGCCACTCTGTTACATACTTCCTTAACTCCTAATGTCTTTTCTGCCTCTCCTGGAAAACACTAACTGTGGATCAGTCCATTTGTCAAGCTTCTCTGCATTGCCACCCTGGCTGCTGAGTGTTGCTGGAGAAAATCCTACATCTATCTGCACAGGTAAGAGCTACCCTTAAGAGTTCAAGGCCCTTAGCACTATTTGGGTCCTCAGAACTTTCCTTGGAGGCCTCTGTTTCTCTGCTTAGCACTTTCTTAGGCTGTTTTTGACCTTCACTAAATGTCTTCCTGCTAACTTCCATCTCAGTTTCAGTAGATGACCTTACTTCCAAATTCATAGAAAAAAAAATTAAATGTTATCATGCAAGAATCCAGAGGAGCTGCATAGGTGTTTCAAACATGGTCTTTTGGCATAAGATAGAAACATTGGAGTCATTCTTAACTTCTTTTGCTTCACCCTTCATGGTGTTGGCATATCTTATCAATTCTGTCCCCAAATATTTCTGTCCTCTTCTTACGATCTCTGCATGCATTACTCTATTGCAAGTCCTCATAGTTTCTCACTTGTAAGACTTCTTCCTAATTGGTTCTCTGCCTCCAGTGTTGGTCCCCTACCCTCTATACATATTTCAGCACTTCATTCTTCTGCGTATGGCTTCACAGTGGCTCCCTATTGCTCTTAGGCTAAAGCTCAACATGGGCTGAAAGGTGGTCTGTGTTTGGGTCCCTGCTTACCTTTCTGCTCTCATGGCTCACTATACCCTCTTCATTCTTATACAGCTCCACAGCCCTTACAATGCTCTTTCTTCCCTTTGGGCATTTGCACAGCCCAGATCCTTCTGTTTGGATTCCTGCTTTCTCTGCTAAATCATATTCATCTGCTCTGACTCAGTTAAGAGGTTGCTCCCTCTACTGACCCCAGGTTAGGGCAGGGTGCCCTTCCCATATGCTCCTGTCTCACCCTAAACTTTTACTTGTATTGCACT